GAACACTGAGTAGATGTAAAAAGAAAGCAAAGGTCTTTAGTGGTAAGTATTATCTGAAATATTTTGTTTCCTAGAACAGTCCTCTGGGTTCTAATTTAATCTTAGATAAGACTATTTTATATAAATTAAATTTTAAATTATTACAGTAGATTAGATCTATAGTCTATGGTATAGACTTTATTTCCTCAGTTTATCTAGTAATTGACACATCATCCACTTTGTTTTTGATGTGATGAAATGACAGGGGTCACTGTTATAGGTGAAGCATGAAGCCTTTAAAATTTTTTACTATGATGTGACATTCGGAAGCTAAGTTTGGAATTTTAGTATTAGAAAAATTACATGGTTCGCTAAGGACTAAGCTGAAGTCTACTTTAAACTCTAGGCCCATAAATTCATCTACTATGATCTCCACCTTGGTTACTCTGATTCAGTCCAAAATGCAGTTATTGACAATAGTATAAAGAGTTACAACACTTTGTAAACAATATTTTAATAACATAGGGATTGTTTCTGTTACATCACAACAAAGGAGGGATTGAAAGTGCTGTGCTGATTAGATCATGGAAGGGCACATATGTGTATCTGAGTGGACACACGTGACGGTATCTACCAGAGAAAAACATTAAAACAAATTGAAACTTAAAGGGGCCAACTTGGGACATAGTTAACATTTCTTTTTCCTTGAAATTATGGATTCCAATCTGCAAACTTAAACTATGATTGTAACTATGTGTACTTACCACATATTTCATCTTCAATTTTATTGTGACTTCTCATTCTTGTTTACTTTTCATTGGAAGGGGAGTTGTAGGGACAGATTCAGGTATTGGAACAGGAAAATTACGTCCAAACCTTGGAAATCTTGGATATGGAATTGGTGGAAATGGGCGAAATGGATATGGGTAAGGGAACGCAAGAAACCCTGAAAAAAATTCATCGCTGTCACTGACCTGTTGAAAGAAAGAAGTTAAAGGGTTTATTTTACTTTTTACAAAGAAGAGAAATTGAACAGCTTTGTTTTTTTAAATAATGGGCCTTTATTTTTAGGAAGAGGCTTTAGAAGCTCTAAAATCCTTTATCCTTTCTGTGTGTACTATGGACAGGGAGTTTATTAATTTGCATCATTTAAACATTATTTAGAAAAGTATGTTCTTGTATCTTTCCACCTAAAGGCAAATTTTTCTGGCAATTACTTCTTTACCTACAAGGCCAAGATGAATGTGGTGTTGCAGTACCATAAAATTTCTCCCTTTGCCTTCATGCAAGTTCTTTACCCAAACCACATGTAGGAAACAACCTCTGTCTTTCAGTATCTCAGTTCCTTCTTCCTGCATTCTCTCTCAATTTTCTGTCTGTATCTCTATTAGTTTTTGTATTCTTAGCTCTCTGTTTGTAGTTTTTGTGATAAAATCATGCTTTCCAGATAATAGGATTTTCATAAATAAAAACAAATCCTTAAATAAGGCTTTCCCTCTTCAAATTTTATTTTCTTTTTATTAAACAATTTTAGTTAACTGTTTAGACTCAAATAATCCATGAGCGAATTTGCCACTGGGAGGATCATCAAAGCCGGCCCACATCTCTTAATGCTCAGGTTTCATTTTTTACTTTTTTTTGAAATGAGTTTCATAGAGCTAAGGCCTCTGCCTTAGCTTATGGAGGCCTGAGTTATTAGGCTAGATAAATCTAGAAAAAAATATTGTAACCCAAATCGTCACAGAATGATTTGGATTTCAATCCAATTCTTACCGTGATATGAGATATGGAGATAATTTCCTTTCTATGGGCAGAGCTCACATCCCTGAAGTCTAAACCTCTGTTGAGTGCTAATACCAAAATCTCTTTATGAATCTCTCCACAGTTTGGGAGGTTTAGGTAAATCAATATCTTTAACAACAGTTATGAATATTTCACACATAAAACTTACATGTAAAAAAGAGAAAAGATAACTTACACTTCTTTTTTCTCGTTCCTGGTCTTGAGAGACCTAATGGTCAAACAGTGAAGTTAATTAAACTCATGCTCATGAAAACACACAAATAAATATATACATATGCATGAGGGAAATAATTTGACAATCTATTACCTAATATTGTTTCATAATAACCATTTTTTTAAAATACCCAGAATTTGTCTAGAAAATGTAGAAATGATTTTCCTGAAAAGTCTTAATAAGTATTCTCAAATGGCTCAGATTCACCACTATACCAAAGATATGTGGAACTGAATTATGCACTGAATGGTATATGGTTTATAATATTTTCTGGAGTGTAATGATAAAAGGGCATGTGTGTTAGGTATTCTTACAGAATACAGCATGTGAAGGAGAAAAAACCCTGAAGATTCACGAATCAAGACAAAATATGCAGTCATGCATTGCCTAACAGCAGAGATAAGTTCTGAGAAATGGGTAGTTCAATGATTTCATCATGCAAACATCATAGAGTGTACTTACACAAAACTAGGTGGTATAGCCTACTACATACCTAGGCTAGATAGTATAGTCTCTTGCTCCTAGCCTACAAAACTGTATGGCTGATTACTATCCTGAATACTGTAGGCAGTTGTGACACAATGGTAAGTATTCATGTATCTAAAAATATCTAAGACATATCTAAACATAGAAAAGGTACAGTAAAAAATATAGTATAAAAGATGGAAAATGGTACACTTTATACCTATACACTTATATAGGTTACGTGCCATAAATAAAGCTTTCAGGACTGGAAGTTGCTCTGTGTGAGTTAGTAAGTGAGTTATTGCATATGAAGGCCTAGGAAATTACTGTTTACTCCTGCGGACTTTGTAAACACTGTACACTTACGCTACACTAACCTTATAAAAACGTATTTTTCTTCCTTTGATAATAAATTAACCTTAGCTTACTATAACTATTTTACTTTAACTCTTTTGTAATAACACTTAGCTTAAAACAAACACATTTTACAGCTGTACAAAAATACTTTCACTCTTTATATCCTTACTCTATATGCTTTTTCTTTTTTACTTTTAAACTATTTTGTTTAAAACTGAGACACAAACATATACATTTGCCTAGGCTTCCACAGGGTCAGGGTCATCAATATCACTGCTTTCCACCTCCCCATCTTGTCCTACTGGAAGGTCTTCAGGGGCAGTTAGACACGTGGAACATTCATCTCCTATGATAATAATGCTTTCTTATGAATACCTCCTGAAGGACGTGTCTGAGGTTGTTTTACAGTTAATGTTAAAAAAATAGTAGAAGGAGTAAACTCGAAATAATGATAAAAGCATAGTACAATAAATACACAAACCATAGTACAATAAATACACAATAATGTTTATTATTGTATTATGAACTGTGAATGATTTTTTGTGCTCTACTCTTATGTGACTGACAGAGGGTAGGTTTGTTTACATCAGCATCATCACAAACACGTGAACACATGACTAATGCATTGCCCTATGACATAATGATGGCTACGGTATCATTAGGTGGTAGGAGTTTTTCAGCTTCATCATGATTTTTTTTTTCTTTTTTATTTTTTTAAGAGAGGTCGGATTGCTAGGTTGCCCAGGCTGCTTTTGAACTTATGGGCTCAAGTGATTCTTCTGCCTTGACCTCCCAAATTACAGGGAATACAGGCATAAGCCACTGTACTTCGTAGCTCTGTTATAATCTTATGGGACCATCCTTGTATATACGGTTCCTGGTTGATGGAAATATGTGGTACATGGTTATACATAAATATTTTGGAATGTAGAAATAGATACTTACTGGGAAACCAACAGCCACTGCCAGGATGGCTGTGATCAGAAGAACTTTCTTCATCTGCAAAATGGAATAAATAAAATAAAAAATAAGAAGAACCTTCATTTTATTCATAAATATCCTAGAAGTCAACAAAAAGACTGAATTCAAAAGATCCAGTTAAAGTACGAATTATTCGACAAATAGCTCTTTGAATTTGAGCAAGTCACTTACAATCATAGAGAATCAATCTATTTGTTAATAAAGAACGTTTTTAAGGTCAAATAAAAGGAGCTTTGTAATTTCATAACTATATTACACCGGTTGCTTTAAAAATAAGCATTCACATATTATTTAAGAATAATAATTCCTACATAACAAACCTACACATGTATCCCTGAACTTAAAATAACAAATAAAAGAATAATACTTCTATGTACTTGTAAAGTACATAGTTCCTGGAAGAAATAATGCATTGGTTTATACAGAGAATGTTAGTTTTGGAAGTAAGAATGTTAGTTTGGAAGTAAGAAGTAAGTTTGAATTTAGTGATCTCAGAAAGTTCAACATTCCTTATACTAATGTCCATGAAAGTAATGTAGGTGACAGATTTATTTGCACTGGTTCCAGGCAACCCCAAAAAGTCCATGATGTGAAGAAGGATCTGTTTTCATGCCTGCTAATACAAAATCCATCCTGCAGTCCACGTATCGAAGAGTAATTTTGACTTTCAAGTTTTATTATTTAATAAATAATAAAGGACTTTTCCAAAGCATTTTATTGTATTTTAATTTTCACTGTAGATTCCTCATCATATCACACACTGTTAAAATGTATCAATTACAGTATCATTAATATTATATTTGAGAAAACTGAGCTAAATTAAAGATTTATTCAATAATTTTATAATGGAGTACACAATGAAACAGAACATTTGCATTTATAAATATTTGTCATTAATACAATAAATGCATATTACTGGATTTCAAATAATGGAAATTTTCTGTATTGGATGGTATCATTAGGCATTAATCCTCTTCTTTGTCATGGTGTGAATGCCATATATGCTAGAGAACATGTGGGGGGTTCTGGGAAAGGCAATCAAGTTGAAAATGTGGATTGGCTATGGGACTTTTCTTGAAGTTTGCCTCATATTTGTTAATTTATTAGTTTATAAAGTTTTTCTTGATAACTGATTAAGTATGAGATGTTATTCTAGGTGTTGTGTATGTACAGGCACACCTCATTTTATTGCACTTTATAGATATCTTGTTTTTTACAAATTGAGTGGCAATTTGTGGCAATCTGGCATCGAGCAAGTCTATCAGCACCATTTTCCCAACAGCACGTGCTCACTGCGTGTCTTTGTGTCATATTTTGGTAATCTTAGCAATATTTTGTAGTTTTCAGATTATAATATATTTTAATGTCTATAAGATATTATAAATATGTAATAAGATTTTATTGTATCTTTTATGGTGATCTGTGATGAGTGATCTTTGGTGGTGTTACTTTGATCCAATTATTTGGGGCTGTTATGGGAAAAATAAGTGGCAAACTTATTTGACAAATGTTGTGAATGTTTTGATTGCTTCACTCACTGGCCATGCCCCCAGTTATCTCTTCCTCTCCTCAGGCTTTTCTATTTCCTGAGATATGAGAATATTAAATTTGGGCCAGTTAATAACCCTACAATACCCTCTAAGTGTTCTAATGAAAGGAAGAGTCACATGTCTCCTACTTTACATCAAAAGGTAAAAACGATTTAGTGAAGAAGGAATGTCAAAAGCTAAGATAAGATGAAAGGGAGGATCTTGCAACAACTAGTTAGCCAAGTTGTGAATGCAAAGGAAAAGTTTAGAAGGACGTTAAAAGTGCTACTACAATGAACGCGGGAATGACAAGAAAGCGAGAATCTTGTTTCCAATAAGGAGAAAGTTTTAGTTGTCTGGATAGATCAAACCAGACAGCACATTTTCTTAAGCAGAAGCCTAATCTAGAACAAGGTCCCTATGCTCTTTAATTATACAAAGCCCTAGAGATGTGAAGAAACTGCAGAAGAAAAGTCAGAAGCCAGCAGAGATTGGCTATAACATAAAAGTGCAAGATAAAGCAGCAAGTGTTGATATAGAGGCTGCAGCGTTATCCAGAAAATCCAAGAACACTGATGAAGGTGTCTACAATAAGTAATAGATTTTTATTGTGGATGAAACAGTCTTATTTTGGAAAAAGATGCCATCTAGACTTTCATAGCTAAAGAGAAGAAAACAATGCCTGGCTTCAAAGCTTCAAAGGACAGGCGGACTCTTTTTAAGGGATATAGCTGGTTTCCTAAATTGAAGCCAATGCTCATTTATCATTTCAAAAATCCTAGTGCAATTAAGAATTATACTAAATCTACTCTTCCTGTGCTCTATGGATGGAACAACAAAGCCTGGATGGCAGTACATCTGGCAGAGCATGGTTTACTAAATGTTTTCAGCTCACTTCTTAGGAAAAAATATGTTTTTCAAAATATTGCTGTTCATTGAAAATGCACCTGAGCCCCCAAGAACTCTGAAGCAGATGTTCAAAGAGATGAATGTCGTTTTCATGCCTGGTAACACAACATCCATTCTGCAGCCCATGGATCAAAGAGTAAATTTGACTTTCAGGTTTCATTATTGAATAAATACATTTTGTTAGACTATAGCTGGCACAGATAATGATTTCTTCGATGGACCTGGGCAAAGTAAATTAAAAACCTTCTGTAAAATATTCACCACTCCAGATGCCATTAAGACCATTGTGATTCATAGGAGGAGGCCAAAATATCAACATTACAGGAGTTTGGGAGAAGTTGATTCCGACTTTTGTGGATGACTTTGAGGGATTCAAGACTTCAGTGAAGGAAGTAATGTGCAGATGTGGTGGAAATAGCAAGAGAACTAGAAGTGAAGCTTGAACATGTGACTTAATTGCTTCAATATAATGGTAAAACTTGAGTGAATGAAAAATTGCTTCTTATGGATGAGCAAAGGAAGTGGTTTCTTGAGATCGAATCTACTCCTGGTGGAGATGCTGTGAAATATTTTTCCAATGACAGTAAATGATTTAAAAACATAAACTTAATGGATAAAGCAGTGGCAGGGTTTTCAAGAGTTGAGTCCAATTTTGAAAGAAATATTGTGTGCAAAATGCTTCATGTGCTCCAAAATGCTACAGCATCACATGCTACTGAGAAATCTTTTGTGAAAGGAAGAGTCAATCGTGTGTCAAACTTCGTTGTTGACTTATTTTAAGAAATTGCCACAGCCACCTTAGCTGTCAGGAATCATCACCCTGATCAGTCAGTAGCCATCAACATCAAGGCAAGACCCTCCACCAGCAAAAAGATTATGACTCAGTGAAGACTGAGATAATTGTTAGTACTTTTGAGCAATAAAGTATGTTTTCATTAAGATTTTTATGTTGTTTTTCTAGACATACTGCTATTACACTTAACATATAATGCTATAGTGTAATCATAACTTTTATGTACATTGGGAATCCAAGAAATTCATTTGACCTGCCTAACTGTGATACTCATTCTATGGTGGTGGTTAAGAACTGAACCTGCAGTATCTCTGAAGTTTACCTGTAATATCAGTTTGGAAGGTCCCTGATTTATGGATCCTTTAAGCTCACTGTTACATTGTTATAGGTAAATACATTACAAAGTTTTCTAAAGATTATTTAATATTTTATATTGAGGAAAATGTCAATTTTTAATGTCATTATCATTTTGAAGTACCTTTGAGATAGTGGAGATTCTAGGGAAATTTTATCACCTTTTGATGTTTCCTATATATCTATGAGACAAAAGAACACAGTGTAAAAAATGTAGCAACATTTTGATCTCTGCCTTTATTTTCTGATATTAATCAAAATTTGAATTCAAATTCAAAAAAGTACCAGATAATGTAATAATTTTGAGAAGACAAGAATGTAAAATTCCAGTCAAGTTCAGACTTCTACAGGCAGATTGTTAATGTAGGAAATCAAGAGTAAAAAATTATACAAGCACTCACATGCATACACTCACATATTCTCACAGACACACACATACATATACATATACACAGTCTACTTTCTATGTGCAAAGCATTGTGGTGGGTGCTTTCAGGGATACAATGAGAAAGCATAATTTCTTCCATATGAGACGTCCACATGGAAGACAGTTACAGATATTTCTATAATGCAATACAAAGTGTGATATATACCATATGTAGAAATTGCAAAATATTGGGAGTATTTAGAAGAAGAAAGAGACAGGTTGAGGAAATAGTTTTGGAGAGGATAGAATTCAAGCAGGGCCTTTACAATTTCTTTCAACGGGTTTCAAGAATTATTTAAAACTACATTAAGCAAAGAAGTAAATAAACCATAACACAGACTCTTCCAGATCATATCTTAGAGTCAGGACATAGCATAATTACCAGCTATCTCCTTTTCTTTTTATACTTATCAAGTCATGATACCCATGGCAGTTTATTGCTGTGTGCTATAGAATAACTGATACCCCAGATAAATTAGATGCATCTTCCTAGAAAATTAATTTTATTCAAGAATTTATGGGAAAGACAAATGACTTTTATATTAAAATCAACATAAAATGTTATGGAATGGAATGTAAGTACTGCATATATTTTAAAGATAAAAGAGGAGGCCAAAGAAATTGGCTCTTGCTCAGACGTTAGAGAATCTCTGGCGGTGCATGTTCCCTTTCTTTGCTGACCTGATGGCCACAAAGTTAAAAATAAACCTGAGGCTCTGTTGTCTCACTCTGTCCGCATTCTCCCCAACCAGCGTTCCCGCTCCTACAAAGATTCGTTCATGGTCACTCTAAAATAAATATTTACTACAACAAGATAGTGATTTAAAAAAAAAGTTTTGCAAACAGAATACTAAAAGTGATCTTCTAATTACTAAGTACAAATTCAAGCAACCATTACATGACAGTCTCAATAATCTAAATTTTTATGATTTAAAGAAAAATATATGGAGAGATGCTATATATCTATATTTACAAAATAGATATACAATGTTAGTTTACAATGATATTTAAGACCTTTCTTACCTCAAACGTTTCAGTCAGTTCTTTGTCTCCGATGCTGTTAGAAAGGGCGAGTGTCTGGCCCTGGAATATTGCAGCTGTTTTATATACTCGAAGGTATAATGGAGTGGAGAAATCTGTGGCTTAAAGGCTTCTCCCATAGGATCAGTTATTACTCATCAACTATCACAATATGTTGAAATTAGGGAATAACCAATGTTTAGTTTCATAGAAACTACCAAATACCAAAATCTTTTGTGGTTTGTATCTCCAAATTTTGTGTCTTGTATATTTGAAGCTTATCACTTTACATGTTGTTGTTCCATTGTCTACTCTCACAATTTTTTTCCTTCACTTCCTACAATTTAAAATACCTCCAAGCATTTTACTGGTATTGATTATAATCTATTGCAAAGCATATTTGATAGTGCTGGAATCTTAAGAAAATAAAAAATCTAAAAATCGTTAAAGATGGGATTAAAATCTTTTGCATGATTCTGCGTTCAGCTTCTTCATTTTATTATCAGGATTAGAGCTTCATAGATGAGGGAATTGTATTTTTGGAGCACCACAGCATCTTGTTTACCTTATGGAACACTATTACTCTGTTTCTCAACTAAAAATTCACTTGCAACAGAAAGGGTATCATCATTAAGTGCTGGACTAGAAACTAGAGCCCACAAAACATTCAAGAATTACCTTAAATATGCATGCATATTGGATATGCCATTTTCAAGAGTCATAAAATTTGAGCTTTAACTCATTTGAGAGCTTTCAAGAATATTCTATTATTGAGTTCAAGTTCTACTTCAAAAGAGGTTATATAGTCCAGATTGTAGTAGTAGTGCATCAAAGTCCCTTTTCTTATTTTTATTTTTTCTAGAAATCAGTTCTCAAGGGAACTCAGAAAAATAATAACAGCTAAGTTTTTTGAGAACTTCAAGTGCTGAAGCACAAATTTAAATGCTTTATATATATAATATAATTAAATCCCCCAAACCACTTTAAGAGGAAAGTACTATGATCAACACCATCCCATTCTGAGACTGAGAAGCGAGAATATTAGTAATCGGTTTGGGTATTATAACTAGTCTCTGTCAGATACTGAATTGAGCACCAGCCATTTGGTTCTTAAACCCACATTTATAACTAGTGCCTTATACTGTCACTGTAACAGAAGGTGAGAAAAATCAGCACAAAGTCAGAGAAACATTAAACTTCCTTTACCTCTAACTTAACGTTTAATCTTATCTCAATGATTTAAAGAAAACTGCCTGAATCAGAAACTTAACATATCAAACCTGGTATGTTATTGTATATTGTTTTCTATTTTGACCAATTTGGGGCTCACAGTACATTTCCCCAGGGCTGGGGATGACAGATGTGTGTGTGTGTGTGTGTGTGTCTGTGTGTGTGTGTGTGTGTGTGTATTATCCATTTCCTTGCCTAAAACCTATCTTTCAATGTATTTTACTTCAATTTCTTTTATCTGAAATTGCTCTAATGGAGGTTGGCAATTGCCACTGAA